TTAAAAGTCCTAATCCCTCCTAGAAAAAAGAATATTAACTCAAGAAATATATTGATCCAATATAGTACTCATTATTAACAGAAGAAATCAAAGTAGAAGAGCTTGAAGCTATTTTGCAATTTCTTTCAAACAACAAGGCTGCTGGTCCCTTATACATCAACTATGAAATGCTTAAACACTTAGGAGTCAAAGGAAAAGGAATTTTATGTCTTTTTTTTAACAAAGTTTTAAGTATAGGCCAGATACCTAGAAAATAGAAAAGCAGTAACATCTATTTTATTTAAAAACCCAAGTTCTGGAAGTGTGATTTGAGCAACACAAAACCTATTATTCTTCTAGAAACAGCTCAAAAATACTTTATTAAGATTCTTACTAACAGATTATCAACTATTGATAAGCAATACAAAATTCTAAAAGGTTTAAACTTTCTGGTCTACAAGAAGAGAGTATAGCAAAACCTATTTATCTACTAAACAACATCTGTGAAAAAGCCAGAGAAAAGAAAAGAAAAATATAGATTCTCTTTCAAAATATTGCCAAGACATATGACACAATATCCCTTTATGTGCTTGAAAAGGCTATAGATTGGATTTGAATTTCTACAACCATCAAAAAGCTTATAATAAACCTTTTTAAAGATAGAAGTTGTAGTATCATACTTCTCAATGGACTCTCTAATTCCATAGTAGTAGGTGATAGTATAGATCAAGATGAAACAATTTTTTCTCTTTTATAAAGAATTTTCTATAATCCACTGCTATGCAAGATTCAAAACAATAGCAACTTAGATTATTCTATGGAAAAAGAATAGTCACTCAATTTCTATAAATCTAAGGAAAAAGTTAAGCTCTCTTTAAAATAGGTAGTAATTGCTTATATGGATGATACAACCTGGATTATCAAATTCAAAGAAGACCTGAAAAGGATTTTGAAAGAAGCAAAAAAGTTATATATAGCAAATGATTCTCAGATTAATGTAGAAAAGTCAATTCTTCTTACTATTAATTGGAATAGAGAATAGTATAGTTCATGAAATTAATAAGGAGAATTAGGTCAGATTTCTTAATATCTGGCTAGAATCAAAACAAAAGAATCAGAATATCATCAACCTAATAAAATCAGAAATCAGGATAGTAATTCAAGCAATAATCAAGAAAAAGTTAACAGAAAAATATATTCAATATGTTATCAACAGGGTTTTGATTTCAAGAATAGAATATAGAATACAAAACACATATTTAAATGAAAAGACATACAATAAACTTACAGTCATACTTAGAAAAGTATTCAAGAATAAGACCTTAGTCCATAGAACAATCCCAAACAGTTGTATTTATAACAAAGAAATATATAGTCTCAAGAGTATCCAAGAAATACAATTAGAAAGTCATATACTGACACTTTTCTATCAACTTAATAATAATAAGACCTCTGGTATTGTCATTATAATTAGACTAAAACAGAGCCAAATTAAATATTAGAAACCTGATAATATTTTAGAAAATTCTATCGACTCTCAAAAGCTAATTAAAAGAAATTTGGTAGCTGCAATACTGGTCCTGATAAAAAGTATACAAATTATCTTTCAAAGTTGAAGATGGAAGAAAATATTTGATTATCAGGAAGATATCCTATCTATCAAATCAATATTACAAGATGATAAAGAATATGAAAAGACCATTCCATCACTATGCAAGCATAAGATTATGTTCCTAGATCAACTCGTCAATATTACTACAATGGTACTTAAAGAATGAAGAGCAATTCAAATTTTCTTTAGTAAATATAAGGGACTAGTCCTCTCCTGATACAAAAAAGTTCATGAAAAGATAACAATAAATTAAGATCTCCTATAAAACTCTCTATATGGACTCAAATAAATAGTTTATAATATGCAGACTGATATATTTCCAACAAATCTAAATAGAAGAAAAACACATAGGATAATCTATACTAATACTTTAATAGATATATTAGAAATGATAATATTTGTAAATAACAAACTCTATTTCATGCCATATTAACTAGTATATGACTTTGCTAGTAATAATACTTATTTCTAATCAGATAGAACAGTGCAGTCAATAGAAATAATTCTATCACAAGTTTATCTTTTTTCACAACTAAATAAATATAATAATCTGAGAAAAAGAAAACAAATCCTTCTGTCAGGAAATCTTATAGACTGGCAGATAAACACATATTACTAAATAGTGACTCTATCAACTATCAAACTTATAGAAGTAGAGATTCAAGTGGAAAACTGGAATATTATACTAATAGAACAAGCCATATAAAAAAAAGAATATAAAGATAAACTTATAAGTATTCTGAGATATAATAGAAGAAATATGATTAATTAGCTTACTTTTTATATTAATAGTTTCTATAAAAAAGGAATGACAGATTGTGAACTTGAGATAGGTTTAGCTTGAATCTTAATAGAGAATAACAAAGTGGTTAAACAGTTCTTAGTAGGAGCTTTTACTTGCTCATTTATAATTAGAACCGAAATATTGGCTATTCTTATTATACTATATACTACTTCTTAAAATATAACTGTCATAATTTATATTGATTGCAACACAGTAATCAAAGTATAGAAATTCATCTACTCACAAACTGAGACATTAATAAGAAGATGAACAAAGACTATCAACTGGCTACTATGGAATAAAATCAAAGATCTGGTAAAGAAGAAAAATCTAAATTTGGAAATCTTAAAGGTCAAAGCCTATAGAATCAATAAATTTAATAATCAAATGGATTTACTTGCTAAATAGGCTAGGCTGGAGAATCCAATAACTTGACATTGGTTATCAGAACTAGGTAGAGTTCTTATAATAGCCACATGAAGAGAATATACAATAGAGATTGGTATCAAAGATTTTATTAAAATATTCAATAAGAAAAAAATTGGATTAGACTGAACAATACGAAAAAGGATTAGGATTTTTGGATTCAAAATAATAAAGTTATATATTAATCAACTTTTTGGAATCAGTTCAATCTAATCAATACTTTTGATACCTCTTTCAAGATCAACAAAAACAAAAGCTTTCTAATTAATCTAATCCATAATGAACTTTTAGTTCTACAGATACTTAAGAAAAGAAAATCAAATGTGTACACTATAACCATTTGTCTAGCATATGAACTTTAAGAAAAAATATTAGGACATTTCTTTGAATATCCAACCACTAGAAAAACTAGAGAAGACTTATAGCAAAAGAAAATAAAAGGATTCACAAATATATTAGCAAAGAAGTTAAAGATAAAAAAAAAGTTTAATCTACAATAAATAACTAGATAGACAAATGATTAAAAGAGATTCAGAAATTTAACAATGATCTTTTCAATACTATCTGTGAATATATGAAAGAAGATAAGACTTTCTCCTTGAAGAAATATCTTAAAGAACAACTCAAGATTCTATCTGCAACTATACAGAGTATAATTAGCAAGTTCTATCAAAAGATGCGAGAAAACTTCAAAAAGAAGATCTGAAATAATTACTTTATCAAAGTTATAGAATGGAAAAAGATGCAGAAGATTATCAAAAAAGATAAAAGACACAAGCACAGATCTAATATACAAACCGGACAGAACCAATAAGTAGTATTACTATCTCTAGAGGATCTAAATTTGGAAGGTATTAAAGAAAAAGAAGAAAAAAAGTATATAGTGATTATTAAGAATTGGATTTATTATGGAATCAAATAGTTTGATTTTTAATTGCAGACAGAACTTAAAATAATCTACAGTAATGACTTATAGACAATGACTTTATTAATTAGTAATAAATATATGAAGTTATTTATAATTAGTTTATTGTAAATATATAAATAGTGTATCAATTAGTTTATTGTAAATATATAAATAGTGTATCAATACTACAGTATATACTTTAATATATCTTTAAATTTTATTGTAAAAAATACATTTGTATATTTTTACATAATATAGTATTATCAAAGTACAGTATGTTGTTGTAAAGAATATACTTCTTTACTATATAGTTAATAAAACTAGAATATTCCTTTAGATTTTATGAATATTTAATCCAAATTGATTTATCAATTTGGATTATTACTTGTTAAAATTTCTCTTAATATCTAGAAAGGTATTAATCTATATTGACTTGATTGAAAGCTTTGTGAGATTGATATTGAGCTTCCAAAAGTTTACTGTGATTTAATCCTTCATCTGGACTTTTCCTTTCTAAAAAGAAAAATTTTATGATAAAAATTAGTAATTTTGATTACTTACCTTTTCTTATATTTTGATTAAATGTTTTGATGTTTGTTTCTTGTAAATTTTTTATTGAAAATAATTTTTCTCTTGTTTTTGTTATTTTTCCGGTTGACTTCTCTTTTTCTCAAAAAAGAAAATTTAAAAATAAATCAACTTAAAATTTTATGATGGATTCGATATGATATTTCAAACCAAATATTGAACAAATATGTTAAAAATTCTAGTGACGATAAAACATTTGGTAATTTTTTCTCTGTGTCCATTTATTTATAATATCGATAATAAATGATTTGATCATTGATAATCTTTTTGGTTAACTGTCGACTAGTATATTAATTGAAATTGAACTAACGAAAAGAAGTAACTATTTTTAATGATTGTGAATTACCGTATTTTTTATCCTTGCGGAATTCATTAAATAAATCGTGATTCTACTTTTTTCCGAACCTTATACTTCTAATTGATTATTTGGCATATCGCAAAAATTACGTATTGCGAAAAGCACGCTTATCTATTGTAATACAATCACATTCATCTGATAAATAGGATAAACAAAATAGCCTCAGACTCTGCAACCGCTTCTTCTGCAAGAAACGATGCAGCCAAGCACATATTACATTGTTTTCCTGTTCGTCTTCTTCTATTTCTTATTTACCTTTGGCAGACTTTGGTACATCAATCATAACAATGTTGATCCGATAATCCTCGACGCCGATAAAAAAAAAATTCCTGTCGAGTTATTTGTCATGAGTCGTTGTCCTGATGCTGTTATATGCGAATCGGTTTTTGGTGAAGTTTGTATGGATACAAAAAAAAATTTTTTTTTTCTTTTAATACCTCGATCGGAGATGCTTAAATTTGAATGTAACTCGCACCATTTGCATCGCATTTTCACCCGCACCCGCAATTCTTGTAGTAAACCGGGTAAACGAAATTTCAAATATCACCGCAAATTACGTTGCAACGCTCGACGATTCCGCGACATATGGTGCCAATTGTAAACACGCAGATATCGAATGTATTGGTAATTGTTCTTTGTTGACCGGGAGATTCATTGCTTCGTCCGTTTGACCGTGAAGAGATTACTAACTTCCACTCGTGCAACAACAAAAGGAAACATCCAAGAACTCTGTTTCCGTCATGTTTATCCAGACCAATTGACATTCTTCACATTCATTCTCTGCCTTAACCGAGACCTACCGCGAATTGGCACAAGAGATTGGGCGAAAAAATGCTCTGAAGAGACAGGCGTGGATTATGCGCCCGTAGATCAATGCGCAAACTCTGAATTAGGCAAACAATTGTTTGTGGATAGTGTTCATGTGACCAACGAACGTGGGGTTACCAAAAGTTGTACAATTTATGTTAATGGAAAGCCAAGATGTATAAGGGATGGAAGATGGTACAGTTGTGCAGATGGTCATACGGTCGATGATTTTGTGCGTACCATTGTGGATGCATACAATGACCAGGAAGTCATTGCGTAGATGATCAATGTTGCATTTATTGCGTTGCGTGCCGGAAATAACGAGAATGTTCGAAATGTCAATTTATTCCATATAAGTTCTATATACTTGTTAGGGAAGGTGCGAAAAAAAAAAGTGATGTACATTTCTCATATGGTATGATTAATGTGCATGCGTGAAAGCTTGTAATATAAAGAAAATTTTTTTGTGTATCATTATTACTGTATGTGTTTGAAATTAAAATCTTCATTTCTCGTGAAACTAAACATAAGCATACATATAATTAATAACTTTAAATTAAATAAATAATTTAATACATTTTCAAGTAACTATGTGAGTTTATTATTATTATTGTTTGGAATGGTAAGAAAAAAAAAAAAAAGGAATAAATGCATGAATGCATGCTTTGCTTATTAAATTGATTAATAAAAATACAATTACTAATCTTTTTTCCATATTGCTTTACAGTGCTATTGTTTGAATTAGAAAATCTTGAATGAGAATTGCTATACTTGCCTTAAAATAATTTAATTGTGCTGTGTGTCATTAAGTCCTTAAATACATAATAATCAAACATGGAATTTATTTAAAGGAATACCTGAATTACCTTTTCTATTTTACTATTACTACTATTATTACTTTTGTTTGTTCTATTCGAATGTCCTTCTTGTTCCTTGCCCTTACACCTCAGACCCCGGATCGAGAAGCCGCCATTACTCCTTATTCACCTCCCTCCTGATACGACCAGCTACACTCCACTCCATTATTAACTCCGATTTCACCTGAGGCTGGACATACCAGTCATGAAGCTGCTTTGAAGTGACCCTATCCTGCGAGTGACGGGTGATACACTTGTATAACAATTCCTTTGATCTCTCTCCTCGGACTTTCTCGATGCAGCGTCTAATCTCGACGGGGTTCTCGACAATTTCACGCAATCTCTTGAGATGTGTGTCAAGAACCCCGTCCCAGGGAGCCAGTCCGGAGAAAGTTCGCCATGCGAGTACTCCGATCGCGTAAACGTCCTCCGCGCATGGGTCGATCGGGGTGGGCAAGGGTTCTTTATCATTTCTATTGCGAGGGAGGGTCATGATTGATCTTAAATAAGATGTAAAGGGTATATATATAGAAAGGAATTAAAAAAAAAAAAAAATTAGAACGATGATCGAGAATAAAATATTTATTTATTGATCGAATACTTACCGGTACAGTTTGTATCCATGGTCGGGCACCGTCTTGATCCTGGGCAGAAGACCGAGCTTCTCTCTGTCGACTTCGCCAACGGACCATCTTAAATAGAGGAACGTAGGTTTAATAATAATGGCACGCGATTTGAAATTTTACTTTTACAGCATTGCATACTTCAACACATCGGCAGGCCTTGTGAACTCGGCCTTCCCGAAGTCTATTATAACTAACTCGGGCATCACGCTTCCATCCTCGAGGAGTTGCTCAGACCTCTCCGAAACCATCATGTTGACCTCGGAGAGATCACGGTGCGCGAAACCGACTTGATGAAGGGAGCAGATGCCTCGGATCATGCCGAGAATGAGTTCATACTTTTGCTCTCCTGTCAGGTGACGCCTCGAATCGAAAGCGTACTCCTTTAGGGTCTGCTGGTACCTCATCATCGACAGTCCGACCAACTCATCACCGGGACCCTTGTAGAGGGAGAGGATTTGTCCCGTGTTCTCCGTTCCCTTCGTTTTTCTACAAGAGTGATAAATAATCGAACGTCTAGTAAATCATTCAATCGCAAAAAAAACTGGTCGAACATGAGGAAACGCGCTATTTACAGGCAGCAGACCGCTTCGCGGACCCTGATTTCCAGAGTGTTATTACAAAGAAATATAGTATTTTTGAAGCTTGATGACAAGCTATTGTTGTTTTTAGACTATATATTTCTTAGA